CAAAATGACTAGATTTTGTTTTCTTCTTGATAGAGACTTCTAAAAATATCACTGATTCTTTTAGTAAGTTTTCTTTTTTGGAATTTTTGGAATTTGTGTGTGTGTGCATGTGTGTAAAATTGGTCTTTAAATTCTGGTTCTCAATGTTCTTTTAACATCTCTTTTTAAAGATATATCAAGATCTCATGGATTAATATATTCTCATTATTATACTGATGTTTTTAACTCTGTTCACCGTCCAGGGTCGCCCTGACAAGATGGGTGGCCATATCCTATACATCAAATTAAATAAACAAACAATGCCCTGTCTTTCTTAGTGCCCTCCAGAAACATCTGTCAAGCCAACTGTCCCTCTAATTTCATATAATTTCTGAAAATAAAGCATTTATCCGAAACTGTTCAGTTACTTTTTATTTGCCTGAATCATTTGTAGTTTGTGTGTATGTGTGTATATATGTATATATAAATAAATGGAGAGCACTTACTGAATCATTCTATAGGATATATGGCTGGGTCTCTTCTTGCAAGTGATAGCAGAGGATATTACAGTGCACTGTGTAGCAAATTGTGTATGGCAATATTTCTAACTGAATTGTAAACTGTTGTGTATTTCCTATTAAGTTTGCAATTTCTTATAAATTAGTTTTCTGCTGTTCAGCAAGTATGACTGATAGTATGATAATTTATTTTTTGAAATAACGACTTGATTAATTTAAATTTATCTCTCAGTGCTTATAAAACTGGTGTGAACTTGGGCTTCCATATGTGGGTCATGTTCTGAATTGGATTCTGCATAATATCCCTCATAGGCAATAATTTTTGACAGTGTTAATAGCAGTAGCTGTCTGCTCAGTGCATTCATGCTGCTTGATGCTGAAATGAATCTATATAAATATAAGAAAATGGGCTCTCTTAATCAGCTCTTGATTCTAAGTAGGTCATCCCCTAATGTCTCTAGTAGAATTTTATACTATCTTCATGTGCATGGAGCTCCCTATATAATAGCAAGTAGGAGAAACTCTACACATTTTTCAGTTGTTGAGCATAGTGGCTTCAAATTGTGAATATGAAGACTTTTGTGAATGGATTGTATCAACAAAAATGATAAAATCACAATTTTCTTTTCTTTTCCCCTCATGTTCAGTTGTTTGAATTACTAGGACCTGAAGGATTTGAATTAATAGAAAAGCTCCTGCAGAACAGAAATACCATTGTGGAGAGATCTTTCTCTGGGCCAAATGATTATAAGCTACAATCTTTACAAGGTAAGTATCAATACACAAGACTTTACAAAGTTGCATAGCTTATGTCTTTCTTTAAAAAATATATATATATATAGTGAAATTAGTAAACAAAAATTTTTAAAATGCATAGTTAATTTCTTCCTTAAAGAATTAAAAAACACACCTTTTTGAGATGTGTTTTTTAAAAAACAGGTGAGCATGATTGTGGATATAGTTTGATTTCATTTTTCTTTGGGAGATGATCCATCAAAATGCCCCAAACACTCAGAATCTATGATAATGGTATTTGCCTTATACCAATGTTTCGGAATAGTCAAGTTTAAAAAATATCATGCACTGATATCTTTTTCTATATAAAAGAATTGTATTTGTGAGATGGGCAGCTATATACATTTGATAAATAAATAATAAAAACTTGTATTGTAAGTAAAGATTAGACAACAAAATAAAACATCTTCCAAAGTTACAGACCTTCATACAAAAATTGAATTAAGTATTTAATAGGCTGAATTGAAGTTAGCTGAACTTCATTTGAAGTTGAAATCTGCAAGGATAGGTGGGGGAATGAACTCTCAGTGCATTAGTTTAGGGAATAAAGTTTTGCCAAATATTTTATAGAAAGTAGCTTTGCTCTTCTATATCTGCTTCCTTTTTCAGGGTCAGACTATATTCTGATAAAAGGATCTCCTTGTTTCTATGCTATTTTGTACAAGGAAATCTGAAATACAATTGGTATATTAATTTTTTCCAAGATTTTAGTCAATTTTAAATACTTCGTAAAACAACTTTAAGCCTTCATAGTCTTGTTCAGAACCAAGAGTGCAGAGAACAGGAATCTATAAATAGCTGGGTGTGTTTCCATGTTGTAGAACACTGCAGAAAATTTACAGGAGAAAATTCTAAGCCCAATTATGGCTGCCAAGTCACCATTCAGTCTGAACAAGAGAAGCAGCTAATGAAACTATATCGCCGTGAAGAAAAACGAAATGCCAGGCGAGAAAAACGAACTGGGGATGAAGGAGAAGTTCTTGTTGATATGGGAATCTCCTTTGATCCAAAGGAGCTACGGATACAAAGGTAAGAAATGCCATTGTAATGCTATCCTTGATGTTTGCCAAGCATTTACTTTCCCTTGATTTAGCTCTAGCAATGAGAAAGTTCCAACTTGAAGTCAAATTTTGATAAAACTACAGACTATTTCTCGGGGTGGGAAATGTTTCTCCAAAATATTCCATACAGATTCCAAATTGCTGTTGTATAATGGAGTGGTGGGAAAACACAGAGAGGTGCACATTAAGCTATACTGTGGTTTGCCTGGTTTTGACTTAGCATATCCTACGAACCCAGCCATTGTGACATGGTTTATGGCTTAATGCGTATATGTACCTGGTCAGTGCCAAAATGGAAGGTATGCAACCACATACCTTGGTGGCCTTTGAAAATGCTACATGGGGGCAGAAAACCTCTACTTCTGGTAGGAAATGGGATATTCTGAAAGGTATGAATGGATGGTTGGTTTGAATGATTGCTCATTAACTCTTTTTTAATCTTTTGAAAAATAATGTAACTTATGTTTAGGGGGAGTACAATAAGCACACTAACACTCTCCCTTCATGTAATCCTCCTTTATACTAGAGACGTATAATAGAAAGGATTGAGGAAATTATCTATGAGAACTTTCCACATTAATGGAAAAGACTTTCCACCCTGATTTTTCAGGGTCTTCAGTCATGTGACAACTGTCATCAATTCAAGCATTTCTGCCATAGACATGAATCCTCTATGCATGGATAGGGAAGGAACTACAGTAGTGCTATTGTCCTCACTCCCATCACATATATGTAGAATGTTTATAATATCCCAAGAGGCTGTTTTTGAACATTCAACATATAACTATGCATAATTATATAGGTTTTTGTTAGTCTGAAGATGATAGGTGAGAATTGTTCCCCATTTCTACTTCCCTAAAAGCAGCCATTATGAATAATGTTAATGTGTGCAAAGACTTATTTGCTAAACCAAGGAGTGTTTGAAATGCAAGACTGCCCTCATGCCCAATAGAAAACTCCCTAACCCTAATGTTGAATTTGTTTAGTATTTATAACAATTGCCATGATATCACTGCATTCTCTGTTGAGTTCCTATATGCTACACTTTTGATTGTCACTGGTTTTCCTTTTGTGATTACAGAGAACAAGCACTTTTGAATGCTCGCACAATGCCAGTTTTAAACAGACAGCGAGACATGGAATTTGAAAAAATTCATTACCCGCATGTTTATGACTCACAAGCCGAAGCTAGGAAAACATCAGCTTTTATTGGGGGATCAAAGGTATGCCTTTGGAGCTTCCTTCTGAATAATGAATTTAAGTGAGCTTCCTTAGAATAGTTTAAAACAGTATATTCTTACTCTGAGGAAGTAATTTTTGTTCCCACTGCTTTTTCCTCCCCTTTTGATAGGTACTTGCATATTTTCTCATAATGGTGAGAAATGTCAATCACTTGGCCCTAAAGATATCTTAAAGAATTCACTGCCATTAGTTCCATGAAATGGTTTGGGGGCTTGGGTGACTTTTAGTATATTCAGCTGTTTCTGTCTTGAAATATTGAATCCTTTTATTGGCAAGAACATATATTAATGGACCACCCAGGGGGTGAAAGATGTTACTTCGAGTTATAAATTAGATCTGCTCTTGAATAGAACTGTATTGTTCCTATCCATTCTCAAGTTACAGAATGTTAGGTATTCTCAGCTGAAATAATGGAAAAATGAATTTATTCATTTGTTACAAATCTCTAGGCCATAGATTTAGAATTTCATGTTGCATATTAGTTAGGAATCTAAAAAAGTCTTAATTAGATGGTAAAGCAAGCCATAACACCTGCCTTTTGTATTCCTGATTGTTTCATCATGATTAGGAGACTGGGAACATATCCAGACTTCCCTACATTCATTATAGTCCCCTTTTCTTTCTTTTGCATGATGTTTATCTAACCCTCCACATTTGCTTTAACCATGGTGTAATATTTATCTGTGTTATAATGCTGATTATATTAGTGTTGAATTAAGTGTTGAAGCTGGTTTGCAAACTTTGTTTTACTCATTGGTGCAGATGTTTCTTTATTATGGTACAGTATGAAGGGCAAGGGGGAAAAAACCATGTTCAATAAAAGGAGGAGGAAGACAAGGAACTTGAGAGACTCATTTTATTCAAAAGCTTTGGGAAGTACTCCAATACTTTGCTGAGCAGTCCCTCTGATCTTCTGTATTTAAATAAGCTTGCAGCCACATCACTGAAATTATTGGTTGGTCTGGGGAAAGATGTCCCTCTCTGATCACATATCTTAGCATTCTGTTGACAGGTCAAATAATGTCTTGAAGCAAACAATACAAAACATGCAGCCTTATTCTTACCAATATTTGATTGGATAACTTAAAACAGTTTTCTGCACCCAGTGTCCCTCCAGATGTCTTAGGACTGCTAAGTCTTAAAATTCCCTGCTGTTGTGTCTTTTCTGGGAGTTACAGTCTCTGGCTTGTATAGAAGAAGGCTGGTTTTAAAAGCGATCTATAATCTACAATAATATGTTAAAACTGTGTGCAATACAAATGGAACCATACGATTTTTTTTCCCTACAAACAAGCTCATTATTTTCTTGGCTGCTTGCCACAATTTTTCCCACTCCTGAGCAGATAGTGGAAAGACTGTCTTAAATAGTCAAATTTACAAGCAGGAATTTGGCTCTAGTTTCAATAAGCGGAGTACATAATGACATATACTTTCAAATTACTGTATTTCAAAACAATTTTTTGATTTCTGTCTCTTTTTTTTTTAAGAGACATTTTGGATCTTACTGTAGAATTGGGAAATATATCTAAAAGACCAGAAATATTAAGTGGAGTGAGTTAACTTTAATGGAATTCCAAAGACTTGTTCTGTCCATTTTTAGATACCTTTGTTTCAGATTATGTTTAAACTGATTTCTAGTTTGCTAACTGTTTATGGAATGAAATGGATATGTCCAATTCATTACTTTAAACTGCTTTTCCCCCTTCCCTTTCTTCTTTTTAATTTTTACAGATGCTTCTGCCAGAAGCTATTGAGAGAGAGAATAATAAAATGTATGAAGAAGTAAAGATACCTCACAGTGAACCAATGCCAATGGGTTTAGTGGAAAAGCCAGTTTATATAAAGGATTTAGATGAGGTAAGGAGAACTTAACTTCTTAATTTCTGCTCTGAGGCATTTGTAGAAGCTTCAGCATTTTATTGTTCTGCAATATAAATATGGAAACAGCAGTATGGAGATAAAGTAAAATTATTGTTGTTATTATTATTTAAATAATGAATAATTAAATTTATTTTATAATAATTACATTTCTTTTAATTTAAATATTTTTTAAAAACAATTCATAAACATTATATGTTGCTTAGAAATAATGCTCATAGTAGATACAATGGAACCTCGGGTTACGAACACTTCTGTTAACGAACTTTTCGGGTTACGACCAGTTCCAGCCGCAAAATTTTGCCTCAGTTTGCGAACTCCGCCTCAGGGTACAAACAGGATATGCGGCCATTTTCCCTCCCGTGACATGGTCCGCGGCCATTTTTCCGCCCCTGCCATGTGGTCCGCGGCCATTTTCCGCCCCTGACATGTGGTCCGCGGCCATTTTCCGCCCCTGACATGTGGTCCGCGGCCATTTTCCGCCCCTGACATGTGGTCCGCGGCCATTTTCCGCCCCTGACATGTGGTCCGCGGCCATTTTCCGCCCCTGACATGTGGTCCGCGGCCATTTTCCGCCCCTGACATGTGGTCCGCGGCCATTTTCCGCCCCTGACATGTGGTCCGCGGCCATTTTCCGCCCCTGACACGTGGTCGTAGGGAGGGGGACTCTCCCTCCAAGCAATAGCCGCCTCCTTGTCCTCCACGCCAGAACGGATTAACGGTAATTACATTGAACCTTATGGGGAAATTTGCTTCAGGTTGCGACCAATTTGGGCTGCGACCAGAGTCACGGAACGAATTAAATTCGTAACCCGAGGTACCACTGTATATCATATCCAAGATGGAAAATATTGGATGAAAATGCACAAAAGTTTTGTAGGCCAAAAGTGACAACATTGAGACTGTAAGCTCCTGTATGCCCTCCTGAATTTTCCTCTCTGTACTGCTTTGTCACCCTGTAATCACACTAGGAAAGAGGATATGTGAACTCCCTTTTTTGTCATGGGGGGGGCAGCTGAAGAGGTCACATGCGACCTTTTCAGGATTGGAAATAATGTACAAATTTGTTTCTCTTTAGCTAAAAACCTTGACCTGTCCTACATGGTTAGATTCAGGTAGTCCTTGTTAAATGTCCACTTGTTCAGCGACCGTTTGAAGTTATAATGGCACTGAATGAGTGGTACTTACAATCGGTCCTTGAAGTTCCAGCTGTCCCAGTACCCCCACAGTCACATGATCCAATCTGGGCGCTTGCCAACTGGCTTGCATTTATGATAGTTGCAATGTCTTGTGGTCATGTGATTGCCATTTCCAGCCTTCCCTGCCAGCTTCCCACAAGCAAGGTCAGAGGGGAAGTCGGCAGGGAAGG